TTATTAAATGAGGCCGTCTAAAAGTTAATGTGAAAAGTGCAAATTTGCAGCCCTGATTAAAATATAGGTTACAAAATATCTCAGAAAGGAATCGAGACAGACGAATCAAAATAATCGCTGTGCAAAAGTATCCGCCGCAAACACGGCGGACGCCGGACTTTGTTCATATTATAGGTCTTTTATAAAGATTTTGCAGTATTGCTGAACCATTGTTAAATTAAAAGAAAAAAGGCAAGATTCTCGTGACGGCCGAAGCCAATAGTGCTTTCGAAAAATTAAAACAAGCATTAACGCAAGCCCCTGTTTGAAATTTCCTGAAAAGGATGAGAATTTAGAAATTTCAGCGGATGCTTCGGATTATGCGTAGGAGCGGTACTTTCGCAAAATCAGCAGCCCGTGCCATTTTTTAGTCGAACTTTAAATCAAACACAAAGAAATTATTCCGCGACTGAGAGAGAGGCACTTGCAGTTCTGTTAACAGTGCAAAAGTTCCGAGTCTATTTTGGAAGAGCCAATAACAGTGTATTCTGATCATGCGGCGGTAACTAGATTGTACTCAGGGAAAAAACTATCCCCAGGTTAATAAGATGGGCACTCAAGCTACAAGATATAATCTGTAATCAAGCATACCCCCGGAAAGGAAAAAATCGTAGCAGATGCTCTATCCAGAATAAAAATAGATGAAAAGGTAATACTGTAAAGGTGGCAATCTCACAGCATGTATAATAAATTCCCGAGAAACTGTAATAACCGAACTGGGTAAGGATCCTGAGTTTGGAAACATTTATGAGTATTTAAAGGATCCTGAAAATTTTAGCCACCCAAGATATTGTGGCGATAAGAAATAGGGCGGCCCATTACGAACTAATAGATGGTCTATTATTTTATACAAAAACTACAATTACAACAACGAATTTCGACCTGTTATCCAGCTAGTCTTAGATTAAATATCCTGCAGGAGTTATGACAGCCCTTTAGCTTCTCATGCTGGTATTCGAAAACTATCCAACGCGTACGGAGGCAGTCTATTTTCTGAACTGCAAAAGTTATGTATGTCCAGTCTGCCCAACATGTCAAGCATTAATTATCTTAATTCCGCCCGGCCGGTTTCTAATAGTATTAATCCGAATTTCCAAATGAAATAATGACATCGATTTATTGGGCCTTTCCCAAAAAGTCAGTTAATAAAAGTCGGTATCTCCTGTTATGGTTGATCATTTTAGTAAGTGGACCGAAAATTGTTCCCTTAAACGAGCTTCCGCGCAATTAGTTACTGATTCTAATTAAATAAATATATTTTAAAATACGGGGCGCCCCTAAAAGTTATATCGGATAATGGTCCTCAATTTGTAAGTAATATTGAAGACATGTGCCAAAAAAAACTGGGCATACGTCATTTAAAAATGGTCCCGTATCGGCCGCATAATATAGCGGAAGGGTCATAGAAATATAGTGAAAATTATCCGTAGTTATGTTAAAATTTCATAAAAGCTGGGATACTATGTTAATGAATGTCTTTCGCCCTTAAGACCGCAAAACATGATACAACGGCAAAACTCCTGCTGAGTATTTTAGGCAGAAAGATTATAACGCCGTTAGATAAATTATTTTATGTTCAACAAAAGCCCCAGATTTAAAATGAGTAGCACAAAAAACAGAAGCTTTATATTTGAAACGACGGGAGTAACTTATAAAGTAGGAGATGAAGTATTAAAAATTAAAGCATTCACTTTCTTCAGCCCAGAAGATAAAACCGCCAATTTTTTCCACGATTTGAAGGACCATATGTCATAGAAAAAAAATCACGCTGTAGTGGTTAAAGCCAGGAATGGTGAAACTGTCCGCAAAATTGATCAAATAAAACCTACTATGACCGTAATAAAATGCAAATATTTTACAGATCTTTTGCAGGATCCGGCACGGCAGGCACAACTCCAGAGGTGGAACAACGTCAAGCAGAAGAAACAAGCCACTAGGAGGCAGGAGAAATTGAAAGACAGTTTCCCGTTAGAAAATGAAGGTACAAGAAAAAGAAGCCGTTCCACCGCCAGAAAAGAGAGCTCACGACACCCCCAGAATGAAGAAGGGGAAGTACGACGAATGCAAAGAGAGCCAGGAGAAATAACGGCAACTATAACCCGGCTCCCAAACGGAAGATCTACTCATCGGAAGGATTTCCGTAGCAAATGTCGCGAACTGCGGAAGGGCCACACCGGCGGAGGAAAATACAATGAAAATTGACGGCCAGCACCGAGGTCCAAGCAGCACGGAGAGAAGGTCCCGGTTCCGCCAAGACCAGCGGCCATCAAACGGCCAGGACACAGGCAGAGGCAAAAAAAGGTATTCAAGGGTGACCGAACTGGAGGAAAAGAAAGCTCTAGGGAAGGAACTGAAGGGCGAGCCCGCACAAGAAGGAGGATAAATCAAAAGAATCTTCGCTACCTTCCAGGACTGGGCTGAGAAAAGAATGTCCGAACATCCAAAGATAAGTAAAATTTTATGTTACTTTGAAACTTAAGTTAATCTTTCATTCTTACTGCAAGTGGCAGATTTCAAGGACGTTTACCTCAAGTAGGTCTACCTTTATCGCCAAAAAGGCGAGAATGAGTTGTCACCTATTTTGGTATTATGTTTTCAATACTCGCGGGAAAACTAAAGTTGATGTATAATAGGAATGTGTAATACTTGATATTGTAAAAGTTATTGAATTTTATTTAAACATTCTGGCAAGAAAGAAGTTTTAGTCTGAAGACTTTTGAATGTAGTATTCAATGTAGAAGAATTGGCACTTGCTTGGAAAAGAATAAGTTAACAATGTACCTAATATGTTTTAAAATGTAAAATTAACGGCATTTATTGTTCTTATATACAATGTGAACTGTTTTTAAATGTTAAGAAATACTATATGGGTAAAAGTGAAAGTAATGCAAAAATGTTAAACTTATTCGTGTACTGAAAAAAAAAAAAAAAAAAAAAAAGAGAGAGAAAGTTGTGAATATGTGTTAAAGGTTGAAGGAATGTAGTTAGGCTCTCTGACGCTACACTTCAGAGTTAGCCACCAATTAGTAGTACTCAGGGTTTAGAGATGAAGAGGGTGTGTACGAGGTCTTGTTATGTTGAATTTTAACACGTTAGTGTTTTGATTGTAGGAGGCAGTTGAACACGTAACCTAAACAATTCGTATTTGGTGTTTCTTTTAAACACATGTCAGAGAGACGTGGAGCGATCATTAAAATAAAGTCATGAATGGAATAAGAAGTAAGAGAAATAAAATATTCATGTTACTTGCCATTTCATGTGTAAATCTTTAAACTAGTTTCCTTCCAGATCTCTGGAAGGAACCAGATTTAACTAAAAGCTCCTGTTTAGATGCAGTACAGATGAAAAATGATTGTCCATGGAGCTGATAATGTAAAAACAAATTTTTTTTTTCTAGTTTCTAGTGAGAAATGTTTGTAAAAGATTGGCCTCGCGTTAGATTCTAGAGCTAAAATTTTTCAACAAGGTCGTTTTAGACCTCAGTTTCAAACTAATTACTCTGGCGGGAAGTATGTAAGGATCTTAAGTTTACTAACGTTTATTTTATTTTAAATCTTTACTATCACTTCTTATTTCTACTTCCGGTCAGAATTAAAAGCTTTAACTTTTTATGCAAATTTGTCTGGCGAACGCCAAGTATTAAGTGTGGCTTTTTGCCAAGCAGAGGAGAGGAAGGATTAGTCGAAGCAGGCCGTTTGCCTTAGCAGTTTTACTCGGTGCTGGTGCCTTCCAGGCCAGAGGTTATCCTCGATAATTTTAACGTATGTAGTGTAACAGTTCTCTGTACTACATACGCTTCCTGTTAATATAGCCAATCTTCCACGTAGGCCCTTGTATTATTCCAAATTTAAGTTAGAGTTTAGTTAATATTTTATATTCTTACGTTCAGACCACAAAGTTGGCTCTGATTCGAGTACGGAAATTATTGAAAGATGAAAAAAAGGGTGTATCCCTTCCTGTGTATCTTGTCTATCCCACATTTATTGGACACAGCTTTAGTAAGCTTCCTGTTCCGAGTCAGGTTCTTGCATGTTCCCAAAGCAAGTAAGGCGGAACACAGAACCTGATACAGCGAATAAATAATATTTTGAACCAGGGATATAAATAAGGAAACCTGCGTTCGTTGTCATTATAAGGAAAGTTCACAGCAATTATTTGCCTCTCCGAAGTTCTTTTGTGAATGACAAGAGATTGTAGTTAATTTGTGGCTCATTATTTCTTAGAAATCTTGATTAAAGTTTTCCACTGCACTTTTCCCATCCATCCTTTTCTGCGAGTGGTGAAAGACATACTGTTTACAGACTGAAAGCGGAAATGAAAAGTGTAAAGGAGAAACACAGCCCTTTTCTTTAAAAAGCAAAAGCATTTTGCCAGATCCTCTCGGAATCGATAGTGTTTTAGGATTCCAGAAACATGTTAACCAGTGCAGCAATGTCAAATATGCTCAGCAATACATCAGAAATGTGACTGAACAAAAATGTCGGAGCTCTATTGAAGGCCGCTAAGTACAACGATAAGTATCAATAAGATAAGAAAGAAATTGAAAAAATACGTAAAGTAATTAGAATTAAACAAATTAAAGAGATAAATAAAATACTAATTACATTAATGATAAATATATAAATATTAAATTAAATTAATGTATCATAAAATTAAATAAAACAATAAAACCAATGAAAGGCAAGTAAATTAATGACAGCAAAACACGACCCCAACGATAAAAAGAAAGTCGATATTTTAAACAGTATTCTTAGCAATTAGACAAAATTGCTTTTTTATTTCAGCTTCTGAATTATTTTAAATGTTCTTTGCTGGAAGGGTATAATCGTTAAATATTCCGCTTTTTGAAGGGTTCTCATTTCAACATGCCTCCCTCCCTCACTACTCACAGTTCTCTAATTATTTTGCTGAGGACGTATACATTTAGCAGCTAGTATCGACATTAGTTTTATTAATCGTTAAAAGAAATTTTGCATGACTAATGTAATTTGCTGCTAATAACAGCTAACAAACTGTCAGAAATTATCTCGTGTAGGGCTCTGTTTGCAATTACGATGCCTCTTGAAAACTAAGAATTACCAGACCTGAGCTGCGGTGGAATGTAGCTGAATTTAAGCATTGCTGCCTAATGTAATCCTTGTGATTTTGGGGCTCATCATATGTTCTGACTGACTATCACTGATACGTAGGGTTGAAGTCAGTCAGATATTTAAGGAGCAGATATATTCAGTTTTTTTTGCCTGGATACAAGGCCTATTAATGTAATAAATAATGAACTGCAAAAGACGTTACGTAGATAACATAAGATCTGATTACCTAGCTTCTTCATCGATGACAGGAGTAACACTACCAGATCGTGTTCCATATATACTTCCACCATACAATGATTCCTCATATGAAGAGCTTGTGGAGTAACCAGAGAATGACCGCTGGTGATCCACGCGCCTTTCAGGTGACGACAAATAACCAGATTCTTGTTGAGAACGACGTTCTGGTGAGGAATGATAAGGTGGGTCGTAGCGCCTTTCGGGTGAAATATGATATGTTGCTTGTCCAGCTACGGAGTATGGACGGTCGGGAGGAGCTCGATAAGAACCTAGAGGTTCATGTCTTCTTTCTGGAGACATTGGCATTGTTGATCCCACAGGCACTGAAAAGAAAATCAGTTATTAGCTGAATTAACATTTCTCTTGAATAAGCTTCTGACAATTATTTTAAGATTTATTAACAACTGTAAGGTTTGTTTCAATTGACACATTATTTCTTATATTAAATCTTTCCCACAGTTCTCCTGTTTTATCTAATCCACCAGAATATATATGTTGTCGAGACATTAGGTTATTTTGAGGCAGGAGATGTGAAAAAAGAGCAGTGCCCTCTCTGGGACTCGAATCACGGACCTCTCGAATACGCGCCGAGTGTGCTGACCACTACATCACGAAGGCGGAAGAAATACCTTATAATGTTAATGAAGTGAGTTTTAAATAGGAGCAAGAATCTAAATTTAAGAGAAAGGGCTGGCAAACCAGCCTTCCTTGGTGAAACTCCTGTCACTACGTACTATATTCATTCTATATATAATATAGTTGAAATACATAACCAAAATATTACATTTCTTATTTTTTATGCTACTAACATTTAATAGGAAATACTCAGAATTTTTCCTTCTAATATAGGAATGCAGAGTATATTAATTTTTTGAAGCGATGTACAAAATATCACGGATTCTCTTTTACGCATCTTATTTTTATTCAAAAGGTTCATCAAAGTATGTCTAAACAAAACATCACAAATTCTCTTTCACATATTTTACTTTTATTCAAAGGATTCACCAAATTATGTCCAGCAAATGTAAGCTTTATACTTAAATCTTGCTTATAAAACATATTCATATTGCATTTCTAATTCCTTTTTCCCCAAAATAAACACAGACTTACACAAGTTTCTTTATTATAGGATTTAAGGACTTAATTTAAGGACTTAATTCGAAAGGATTAAGGAGAAAATCTTATTATGCGTAATAACTTTTCATGGCATAAAGTCTTCTTAAAGACGCTTAAACCAATGCCGCCACGCTTAAACCAATGTCCGCCACGCTTAAACCAATGCTTTTTCTACCCTGCTCATTGAAGTATTAAAATATATTATTTCTTATTATTTTCGCTACAGAAATTTACGTGAATATACTCAGAACACACTATTTTATTCAACACATAGATTTAACACAGATTCTGTTAACTTTTTGAAACGCTTTACAAAATTATTTTGGATTTTCGAGTATAAAAAATACCTTTAACCCCCAAGCATACACTAAACCTCGATTTTCCGCTTGTGAAAACTTACTCGGATTCTTCACATGATTCCACCATTCACTGCACAGTCTCATATCAATTAGCACATTTGAACTTATCGTAGCATTGACTTTCTTAACAAGGTACTCGGGAATCGAACTATAGAGATAAATTTTTACACCGTAAAGTATTATTTAAATTCAAATTATTAGTCAGATCTATGAGGAATAGTCAAAACGAAGTCTAAAATATACATAGAATTTATGTTCAACCATGGAAATGAAAGCCGTCTTCCTTCACCAACCTTGAATACTCTTTTCAATCGTCATCATTATTTTTATGTACCTCAACACATTCATTCTAATTAGAGTTTAAAAAAGTGCAGATAAACATTATTTTCACTGCCGACTTCGCGCCAATGTCCACAATTGGCGAAGTTAGCTTATTTAGCGTCTGTTTTTGTTTTTGAATCTTACACTTAGAATAAATTACTAGAAGAATAAGAATCACTGTTTTGTAAAAATCTTTCTCTTTGACTCAAAAATTAATTACATCTGACATTCGAAAGGAACAATTAATCATACATAAATATTTTATTGCATTAATGAACCAAGGTTATATTTTAACACACTGTATTACAATATACTGTATTTTAACAAATTAGGCGAATATTTAAAGAAAAGTCAGGTCTTTTTCCTTCTGTCAGTACTATTTGAAGTAATATTTTACAATTACACAGTCCTCTTTACGGTGGTTTTTAGTACACTAATGTTTGTGAAAAATGCAACACCATGAAAGAATTGTCGGAAAAGAATGAAATTTATTCCACATATTACTGGTAGTAGTACAAATAAATAGTCAAATTTACAAGATAAAAAAGCAACAACAACAACAAAATGAACGTCGGTAATCAATACTTTGTGTGTCCGCCACGCTGAACGATGAGAGCCTGTACATATTGTGGCATTGAATCATATAGGTTCTGAAAATAATCCTGCAGAAAGGCATTCCAGAACGGCTTCGACTTGACGCCAAAGTCCAGTCTTAGTGCCCCACCAGCTTTGTACCAGCAACTTACCGACCGATGAAATTTCAGACATACTTAGTGGGCGACATATCTGGGGAATAAGCAGACAATTGAAGAAGTGAAACCTGTTGTGCCCTACAGAAGGCTTGTGCAGTCTGAGAAACGTGCATGGGCAATTCCCTGCTGAAACACAGCGCCCGGAATGCGTCGAAGAATGGGGAAGATCTCTGGCTCCACAACTTCCCTGCTGAAACACAGCGCCCGGAATGCGTCGAAGAATGGGGAAGATCTCTGGCTCCACAACTTCCCTTATGTAGCGATCACTGTTAAGGTTGCCCGCAAACTGCACAAGATGGGATCGACAATCATACCCAATAGTCCCCCTCCCCATGATGCCAGGCGTTTGTGTGTACGCTGCATAACACACATTTGGGGAGAAGACGTTTCCCTCTGTAACGTCTGACGCGTACTCTTCCATTACAATACTCCAAATTGCAGTGAGATTCATCGGAAAAAACAACTTGTTGCCATGCCCATCAAAGTCGGAGGCATCTCTGATTCAGCGACAGGAGAATCCCAGTTCATGCTGCAGCAGACGGCGATGAACAGTGGAGCTAGACAACACAACACCTGTAGCCGTGATCCAACGTTCTGCTAAATCACGAGAGAATGATGTACGATCTGTCACAGCCATGAGGATGAGGTGTCTGTCGTCCCGTGCCGTTGTGCTATTGCATTATCTACTGCCAGGATTTCGCCTGGTTTGCTTCTCTTCTATCCATTTCTTCCAAACACGCATCACTGTTGTGTCGTTGCGCTGCGTGCGGGCTCAGATTGCTCGATACGAAAGCCCACACCCTCTTGCATACCGACGATACGGCTTCGTTCGAACTCCATTAATTGTTGTTATGGTACCGTCCGCTGTTGACGAGGCATATTGACCACTTATTAAACGTTCACCGCAGACAGAGTACGATAAACAGATTTCAACGCAACTTTATAGTCATTTTATATATATGGAAAAAGCACCCGGTTCTCAATCCTCGCATGCGCAATCGCTTTGTAATTCTAATCATTTGCATGTTTTACCTCACTTTACATTTCCTGCAAGTTTGGTTTAAATTGCATAATTCCTTCATGGCGTTCCAATTTTCACAAACATTAGTGTATAATCTAGTGTATAATAAACGGTAGTGTATAATAAACATTAGTGTATAATAATTAGTGTACAATCTTGTTAAACTTCTCTTTTCATTACTAATTTTGAAGATTCTGGATACGTTCTACTCAAAAGAAAATGTTCAAATATTATTAGTAAAATAGTTTATACATGTAAATTTGTCATACTCTTGATCATAGTATGTTCAGTACAGAAAATTTTCCTGACTTACAATATTGCTGCCAAAATAATAAATATGCAAATATTTCCTAAAATTTTATATATTTGTTCCTATGCAAGCATGTACATGAGTACCCACATTTAATTCTTTAATGTGTATTTTCCTATATCACAACTAAAATTTCGAACGCTAAGCGAGCATTAGATCTTCGATCATACGTATATCTATTAAAAAATTCTATTAAAAAATTTGTAAGAGTTGAGATAAAATGCTCTCTTAGTTTCAAGGAGTTTGCTGACATATTACCTTTGCTGAAACCACCTTTTATGGAAAATCGCAATATAATTAGTTTTACTGTTTTATAACTAGTACCGGCCAGATTTGCAGAATAGTTGTACTTCACTATTTCTCTACCTGTAAATTTACATCTTACGTGCTATATCATTCCAAAATAAGCTTCGAATTTGAAGTTCTTCGAATACGAAGACGTAGTTTGGTGAATCCTTTGAATAAAAGTAAGATGTGTAAAAGAGAATTCGTAATGCTTTGTATAGTGTTCTATAAAGTCATTACAGTTATTAGTAATTAGTACAGTAAATTAGAAGAGAGAGTTCTAAGTATCTCCTATTAAGTAGTAGTAGCAAAAAAAGTACGAAATGCAATATTATGGTTATGTATACCAACTAAATTTTATAGAATGAACATTGTAGATATTGGTTTAATTCGATTTGAAGCTACGGAAAATATCCATGAAGGCTTGCAGAAGGAAATGATATGCATGTAAATTCCAGTTTAAATTTCATAAACTAAGAAAATACATGCAAGCTTGTAAGGTATTTCTCCTACCTTCTTAGCATGCCTTCGTGGTGTAGTGGTCAGTAAACCCGACGCGAATTCGAGAGGTCCGTGGTTCGAGTCCCGGAGAAAGCGTTGCTAATTTTTTATTCCTCCTACTTCGAAATACTTATGACTCTACAGTGTAGCCCGAACAGAGACAAAAAAGGTGGTGGATAATGAATCTCCACCACCAGGATTTGGCGACTGGGTTCCCTAATCCCCAGCCCCCCTTTAAAAAAGGGAGTATATAAGGTACTTCTTCCACCTTCTTAGCATGCCTTGATGGTGCAGTAGTCAGCATACTCGACGCGAATTCAAGAGGTCCGTGTTTCGAGTCCCGGCGAAGGCGTTGCTCATTTTTTTATCTCTCCTACTTCAAAATACCTAATAACTCTACAAGTTTACTTTTGAAGAAATGAAAATGTAACATGAGTAAGTATTTAAAATGTAGGAAAAAGTCAAACACGAAATAAAATTATGACCAGAAAAAAATTTAAAAGTATAAGAAATTTACATTTATAAAAACGAAAAAGAAAAATAGTGAAAAGAAAAAAATTAAATTTTATTTTCGAAGTACGATGAAGGGGGCAAGCAAGACTCATTACACAAGAAAGAACACACTGAGAAAACAAAACGGCAGACTGAGAGAATCATTCAAGATGCGGACAAAATGGTGACAACTGGAAGAGCATTAAAACAAGTTTCACTTACCATTTACAGTAATTAAAATGGTATCATAAAATTATAAAGTAATATTTAGTCATTCGCTATTCGGTTAAAATACTAAAAATAATTAAAAAGGATATCTTATCCAAACACGTGGTTCAAAGTAAAATCGTCTTTGCCACAAAATGAAAACGAAACTTTCCTTAAAATCCATGTTGCCACCAAAAAACCTAAACTCAAAAATAATCTCCATGCACTCCTACATTCACTTTCAAAACAAACACTTCCAATTTCACTCGAAACCACTCAACAAAGAATGAGGACAATTCCGGTCACGTGACCTTTGATGTATTTCTGATGCCATAATGCTGCCAACACTACTCTCCCTTTTTAGAGTTTTATGCCTCTTATTTGCTTTATACTGTAATGTTATTATGCACACATGCTTTCAGAAAAGTTATATATGCAGACGACAGCTAGAAAGTTTTAAATATGAATCAATTCTCACTTATTAAAAGCCTTATAAAGCAAAGATTAGCTAAGTAATCCGGATTATTGATGAGACATCTGGCACAGAACATTAGACAAGAAGCAGCGCTGTAATAAGAGTACCTGAATATTCGCAGACTAATACGTGTTTCATGTCCAATGCTATGAGACCGTTGTAAACCACAATGATTGTGGTTAAAGTGGGATACTGCAGATTATGATTCCTTATTGGGAAGAGCTCCTAAAAATAAGAAAACTTCGTACTGCATAGGTCAGAAAGAGTTCTCATCTTACCCAAAGGACGCGGCTGGCCAGATCTTGGTGAGGGGATTGATGGAGGTGGCCCACTCGGAGGAGGTGTAGAACGTACAGTCTTGCCCAATGGTGTCAGAGCTTGCTGAAAAGAACGCTGAGGCTTTGGGGGAGGCTGTGTTCCACCTATAAATTAAAACAAATACTGAATTTCATTGAAAAGTGCAGTAAATGTTATTTGATATATAAACTACTGACAGATATATAAGTCAAAATTTTCAGAAACACAACTTATATGAGGGTTGGAATTTTAATAGGAGCAGCTATTTATTTACGACTACCACAAGAAGTTTACTTCTGCGTAATTTTTATTCGACTTCCATGTAGTCATAGCACTGTGTACAACTCGTTGCCAGCGATGTAAATTGCAATATACTTGTAACAATCACTATTATGCTAATTGTTCGAATGCAACGGTCCATTAAATAAAAGAATTTCAAAATAATTGGGAAAGAATGGTCAAGAATTGGTTCATTCATTTTAGAAATCAAATCATAACTACAAAGACTTAAGAAAGCTTCATAAAGCATTTCTTAAAGATTAATAAGTATTTCTCTTACCAACTGAAGGATAACTCAGCCACAGATTGAATGCTACGTATTTAAGAATTGCTCTGCAAAATGATGAAAGGACTTTGCAAAAAGTGTGGCAGTCTCTTTTGCAAGATGGTCAGAAGATAAGTTCCAAAAGTGAACAATAATACTCTACTGACACCATGTCCTTGAAGTATGGTATGCGTTAGAATCAGATCATTACAGTAGTTCATGAAAAACCTACCTTTCTCGTCAAGGCACATGTGTGTAGTTCCAGAGAAAGTTCATTTATTATGATGTAGATTAGTCACCTAATTAAAATGTGGTATAAGTAAAAAGCATTGCTTTCATATGCATCGGTTTTGCTACTGTTAAAGTTCTAGAATGGCATGATTACAATAAAATGTACATTTCAACCTAGTTTTCATTTGATAAACAGCTATTTCTCGAATGACTGGTTTTAGAAGTATTAAATAAATGAAGCAAAAAACCGTTAATTTTTACTTAATGTATGATGCAGCTTCGTTTATTCATCTAGCTCGAAACCTTTATAATGAGCTATAACAGAACACATAGATAACAGCAGCTCTATCTACCATTAGCATCGAATAAGAGCAGTTGATTAAGGAAATCCGATTTTAGTGTAGTATATTAAATATTACGTATAAAAATTAGGGTTAGAATTGCAGATTAGTGACATTATATTTCCCCAGACTGCTTACTCTTACGCATAATAAAAGTATAGTACTTAAAATTAACTGAATTTTTTTCCTTCTATTTGTGAGCTCCATCTGATGTACATTCCCAACTACTTGACTTACTGATTTATAACTGAGATCTCAACAATAACACCATCAAAAATTAAATTAAAAAAAATCTCCTTAATTTTTTTAAAATCTTGAAATTTTTAACAAAGCCATAAAGATCCTAATGCCCCCTATCAAAATTTATATCAACGAATAATAAATTCAGGCTATGAAGCAATAAAAACAAAATACAGAAATAGGGTCAAAAATCAAAATGAAGTGCACTTGCAAATATAACGTTAACAAATTCAGAATTCGATAGCTTGTGTAAAAACGTACAAGTATGTCCTAGCCATTAAATTTTCAGAATGTAGTAGTAATTAATAAATTAATATCTCTATATAATAAAATTTGAATTCAAATTGCTCAATAAAATTTACATTTATTTTCTACATAAAATGCATGCAATATTCATATCTTAAATTTTTTTTAAACATCTACTTTTTTAAGATTACCGATCCCACATTAAAAAAGTACTGATTTGCTAAGTCGACAAAATTTGAAGACCACTACCTTAAATCGTTTTGTGAGTTGGGTTATTTAATCAATGGGAAACACTCAAGGGTTGGCTTCATCCCAGTTTTCACTAGAACATGATAGGGGATGGATCCGAAAATCTCGTACTCTTCTTTCCCGGCCACTAACGTTTCTATACGACAAGTGCTGCGGTAAGAGAAACATATCCTGTATTACGAATCACACGCAAATTTAGCCATACATTAAAAACAGGATTGAATTTTTTAAATTTTTTATTTTAACATTTCGTAAATGCTGAACATGAATTGTATATAAACAAAGTTAACGAAGAGAAGAGCCAGTAATTAGATATTTTTCTTAATATTATATTTCTGCTGAAGAACGGCAAGTCTTTCTTTGACGAAGAACATGATGTCCAGAGAGAAGTTTCTTCTAATGTGGTGCAGAAAGACATAAGAAGTGTATGTTTATTTTAACTATCAAGGACCTTCAAAACAAGTGAAAATTAGATAGATCCCTTATGTCTTAAAGTGCAAATATATTTAATTAGAACTGAGAAGAAGATCAGGTTACAGCCAAATAGTAGCGTCCGGAGAAATTAAGATGAAGAGACGGGCTCGATGTGTTTAGTGACAAAGCCACTGCTTTACTTTGTGTTATATTGTAGTTTGTAAACCACTAGCATAAGAATTATAAATATATATTACATTTTATATTTGTATTTTCGTTTCTTTTAGTCAGGTTGTAGAGACATTAGGACATTTTTGGAAGTAGGCAAGATGAAAATTTAGCAATGCCTTCGCCGGGAATCGAACAACGGACTTCTGGAATACGCGCCCAGCGTGCAGACCACCACACTCCGAAGGCATGCCAAGAAGGCGGGAGAAATACCTTATGAGGTAACTAGTTATAAAGGGTGATAGTGCTAAACCAATTCAGATAATTCCAGTGGCTAATCCATAGGCTGGAAGACTAACTTATGTCAACCTTGCACCCACAGTAATTATATCCTACAAGAAACGCCATCTCGTATACTGATCTCCTTCAGAAAACGGATTATGTTCGCTATGCGAAGCAATACTGTATCAAAGTGGCCCAAGATCTTATGTAAAAAATTCAAAATGTGCACTGTCATTTACTTGAGCAAAATACTATACAAAGGTTTAGGCAAAGAAGTTAAAACCAATCAAGAAAGGCCTGTCTTTGCCGATTTTATTAACAATATACTCCTACCTAATACCTTTGGGCAATATCTGAAAGTTATTTCCGTTAACTTTGCTATTTAGATCTAAAAAAAATTATCTACCAAAGTATTTTTTAAGATAAAGTTTCCTATTTTAGTACACATAATAACGGACCTTTTAAATTGCATTCTAAAATATCAGAAAGGAAAATGCTCACGGAATGCTCAACACCAGAAACGATGATAAAAGTCAATCAAAAACCCATTAGTCGTTAATACGATGATTTCTGTTTCAGATTTTCGAATAGCTTTACCATTAATGCGATTAAACTCACATGACAGTAATTTCCCAAATAGTTGCGTACGGCTTTCGGTAAATTTTTGTCTACCAATATCAAACTATTATTACTCCAATGATAAAATTACTCAAATAGGAACACTTTGGGATTACGAATTCAAAATGAATAAAGATTCAAGTTTTACCTAATTTTACTGCTCCATTTGCTTTATTATTATTTAATTATATAAAGAGTGTCTTAAACGTACTTTCAGATAAGAAGTTAACAATGTGCGAAGCTAAATCCGTTTGTAGGGATACGAGATCTTACGAACAAATTAATTAATAAGTTTTGGACAATGAAGAATGCAGACATACGTTTAACAGTCAGCTCCCGAACAACTGCGAGCAGATTAATCGAATTCGGCCTAAAAAATGTTTTAAGCTTGTTTAATGCGAAAAGATGAAAAAACATTTACCACAAACTATCAGTGTAAGATAAAACTTTCAAATATAAAAAGAAAAAGAAAAACGTGTGGAAATGTATCGAAAATATAAAAAGAATATTTAACTGTATGTAATCCGAAACATTGTTAAATTACTCGCTAAAAATAAATTGCTCAATCTTAAAAATAGATCAAGCGTACACCCATTTATCTCCTGTTTCACACTGACCCTTATTGAAATCTAAGAGAAGTGTAAACAAAACGAAACACCATGTTCAGTCTGAAATGAAGAAAAAATATACAGAAAGATAGGAAGAAACTTGCAGAGAAAGAAAGAGCGCGCTTGCGCTCCAGAGAGAGACTTTGAATATACTGATTTCATTTACGTAACTAAATGAACTTATTCTGCAGATTAAACTAAAATAAATCGTAGGCAAATGATTAATAGCATTTTTCTGCTAGTTACAACATTGATCTTTCTTTCTTTCAATTGCCCTCGGATTTAAGCGTGATTCTGAATTAACTGCGAGAGTTGTGTAACTGCGGGAGTGTATTATTACTACGGTAAATCGGGAATTAAATCTAAATTCAATTTTGGCATTTCTTGTTTTTCTTTCTATCAATTCAAAATTTAACATCGACTTTTACTCTTAAGGCCATTTTTTTTGTTAGCTACATTTAATACCAGCTGAAAACAACTTTCGATAATTCGTTATCATAGCTACATTAACACGCTTTTCGGGTCCATGTTGTTGTGAAATAGAGCTGCTCCTTTTTTCCCCCCTAAATTAAACGTCTTTTGGCGAATTTATCGATTTTTTTATAGCATGAAAGACTCTATAAAGCAATAATTTTCTATCTGCCCATAGGTTTGCTTTGGTTTGGTTTATTTAATTATGGCAAAGCACACTAGGGCTATCTGCCTAAGGGGAGGGATGCCTTCGTGGAGAACTTTCTAAGGGAAACTAACTTATATACACGTTACACATGGGGAAAACTACGAAAACGCCCATGCAGCCAGCCCGTTCGCGGGATTCGAACCTCGGACCGAACTACCAGTGTTCAGCGACTTTACCGCTCGGCCGCTGGTGGGCATCTGCCCATAGGAAGAAGTATCTTCGGCAAGAACTTTAAAAAATGTCTCTTTTCACTTCCTTGTACGAAGTAAAGGAAGTACTGCAATCACGAAAAATTCCGGGTACTATATTTCAAGGAAAATACCCATTTTGACAGCTATCGAATGCAATTTAACGATGTTTTTGCGTGACATCTGTACGTAAGGATAGAATACACGACTCTTTTTCTCAAAACCAGCAGTTATAAAACTGATTTAAAATGGATTCAGAAGAGATTTTTTCGTGACGTCTGTACGAACGTACGTATGTATCTCGCATAACTCAAAAA